CAGCAGGAGCTGAGCTCTGCTGCTAGCCTGAGGCCAGTGAGCCGGTGCTGGGGGTGGCTGTTGGGCCGGTGCTGGGGCCGATGCTGAGGCCGGCCAGCAACCCAGTGCGACCTGGGGCAGTTCAGCCAGGGCTTCTCTTGCCATGTGTGTGTAGGGGGGTGGGTGCTCGGGGCAGTGCCAGATGGGGGGTAGGGGTGGGGCCCTGGGTGCAAGGGGTAGAGCTGCGTTGCTAGCCTCTCCTACAGGGGGGTTCACATGCCGCCCATGCCCGGGACATGCCAAGCCAGTCCCATGCAGGGACAGCACTTACTTTCTTATGGGATTCCCCAGAAGCTCTAGCATGGTCTCATCTGGCCAAGCCCTCTCCCTGCACTGGCTGCTCCCGGCTAGGTGTGTATCACCAAGGCAGCCACAGAGGTGGGACACCCTGCAGCTGGTTTGCTTGCCTAGGCATGCAGGCTGCCCTGCACTCGGTCCCTTGCTCTGAGCACCTGCCTCTGGCTCCTTGAGTTCCAGGCTGAGCCATGGCATCTGGTCATGCCCGGAGGCAGGGAAACGAGAGAGCTGTTTTTTAGTCTCTGGCCATTCATAGAATCATAGAATATCAGGGTTGGAAGGGACCTCAAGAGGTCATCTAGTCCAACCCCCTGCTCAAAGCAGGACCAATTCCCAACTAAATCATCCCAGCCAGGGCTTTGTCAAGCCGGGCCTTAAAAACCTCCAAGGAAGGAGACTCCACCACCTCCCTAGGTAACGCATTCCAGTGGCTTTAACTGCTTTTAATGTTTGTTTGTGAGATCTCCTGTGTCTCAGCCCTCTCATCTGGTTTCCATGGGGCTTCGGGAGACATTTGGACATTGGTCCCTCAGCTGGTGTAAGCGCCTTGCCTGGTTGATGGGCCTGGAGGATCCTCTCAAATCAGCTTGGTTCTGGCATTCGGCTGTCAGAGATAAAAGCCCTATGCCCAGAATCTGCCTCAGCAGCTCTGTCTGCTATGGGATCTGCTTCCCCCACTTCTCCGGTACACTCCAAGGTCAAGCCAGTAGCTGCATTCACAGTTAAACCAGCAGTGCTGGCCCATGTGTGGTGTCTGTTTCCTCTTAGCACCTTGGCAGACAGCTGGTGTTTCTGTTGTGATACTGTACATTATTTGCTAGGTGTATTACTGTAGTACCTGGGTGCCCCATTCATGTGCCAGGACCTCATTGTGCAAGGTGCTGTACATACACAGATGTGTAAAGCCTCTAGCTAAACAAGTTCTTCAGTTCCTTGATATTTATGGATTAACATATTTTAAGGCCCAAAGGCCATTATGATCATCTAGTCTTAACTCCTGCCTTACATAGGCCCTAGGATTTCACCCACTAATTCCTGCATTGAGCCCAAGAACTTGTAGTTGAACTGGAACCAATCTTTCTGAAAGAAGTCCAATTTTGCTTTAAAGACTCTGGATGATGGAGAATTTACCATATCCTCAGGAAGTTGTTCAAATGGTTAATTACTCTCATTTTTTAAAAACTTTGCACTTTATTTCCAGGTTGATTTTTTTCTAACTTCAATTTCTAGTCACTGGATCTTGTTCTGCCTTTATCTGCTAGGTGAAAGGGCCCCCATACAAATATCTTCTCCACATGTAGGTATTTACAGACTGTGATCAAGATGAGCCCATTTCTTTCTTGTTTGCTTAGACCAGCAGTGAAATAGTTAACAATGATTACATTTAAATGACTGTCACTAGGTTTCAGAGATAACAACACACTGAGGTGAATGGGGATAGTTTGCCCCCATCAAATCTCATTTCAGGCTGTCCACATACATCGCTAGCATCACTGCATCTGTTAAACTCAGTTCACTGTTTGAATTGTGTTGTCAGTTGGTGTGCAAGTGTGTTCTTTCTATATGCTGGCAGTAGTATAAGGGCCCTACCATCAATCAAACCATAACCCCGCCGTTGACCCCTTAAGCCCCGCCCCTTGACCCCGTAGTTCCCCCCGCCTGTCACCGGAAGTCCCACCCCGTGGGGGTATTACTTCCGGGGTCAAGATGCCCCCTGCCCGGAAGCAAGGTGTGTCATGTGACCCCTCTAAGAACTCCTCCCACTACGCTCTACCAATCAGGAGGGGTTTTGTCCCGGTAGGACCGCCCCGAGAGGAGATTTTGACCAATCAGAGTGACTTCCGGGGCGGGGGTTACCCATCCAGGAGTGGGTCTTGTGACGCCTCTAAGAACTCCCCCCACCACCCTCTACCAATCAGAGTGCAGCACCATTACCCCATAAGTCCCAGCGCCGGACAGAGGAGGCGGCCATCTCTTACCAAGGACACGTGTTTTTGAAATCATGGGAAGGCTGTTAAGAGGAAACATGGACTCCTTCACCACCCCCGTGAGAACTTCAGACTTTGTTTTAGCCCCAAGGGTCTTTGACCATCCGCGGAGAAAGCGCTACATCAGCGACAGTTCCGAGGAGGAGGAGTGAGCGACCGAGTTGAGCCCTTTGGCCCAGCCGTTGATGGATATGACCCCAAAACCCTTGTGAGACACCCCGATGAGCATGGCGGCCTCTCTTTGTTCACTGCCTCAGAGGTGGAAGGTGATTGCGGCTCGGGGGAGTCACCGGTGGACAAGGCAAAAGGAAAAGACGGCGCTCAGGTAAATGAATGATTAAGAAGAGACGGTCAAGGAGGGGTGGGTAATGGGTTAGGAACCTGGGGCTGTGTAAATTAAAAAAAAATTCTCAACAGCTCGACGATGCCTTTCTAGAGGACCCGGAGGCCCTGGACAGCATTGCATCAAGCAGCGAAGATGAACCAGGCCCACCATGTTTTTGCTCAATGCCGATACAAATTGTTGAAGAGGACTCTGAGGATGATGGCTATGAGGAGTTTAGGAGGCGGCTTGGCATAGAACTAACTGAGCCAGTGCCACGTGGTGAGCGTAAAAAAGTCATGCGGACTATTGTACGCGTTGCTGTTTATGCTGTCCTTAAACACTGCCTTAGGGAAAAGCTTTTTGAAGATTGTGAGGGCTGTGTCATAGATGCGCCAGCCCAGCGACACCATGACTGTGTGACTTGGACTTCAGTGGATATAAACTGCACGCTCCGGAGCCTGTGTGCTGAGATGTGTTTGGAAAGCTTATTAAACACTGTTATTGCCATAGGTTATGCTATGCAATGTCTGTGACTAACCCAGGAACATTTAGCGCAAGGGGTGACCTTGATAAATGCTGTGCAATTCAGTGGAGACCCTGACCGTGTATTAAAGAAAATGACCAAACCGGAAGATGCCTGCTTACCACGTTATATTGACCGTCTAGTTCACACAAAAAGTTACAGAACCCTGCTTAAGAAAAAGACTATTTGTAAGAAATCTAAAAGGATTAAGTTAGAGAATGGTGAGGGGACAAACATGCGATATAAAACTTGGTAGCTGTAAATTTAAAAAAAAGGGGGGGGGTTGTGAATATCTGTGTTTTGTTAGAAGGCCTTTGGCCCTTAAGTGAGCTAAAAAGTTTTAATGAAGCATCTTGGTTTGTTTTCAAGGAGCTGTATGTTTTTTAAATAAAAATAAATAAATAGTTTGTGAGAATTAGCTCTTATGTTTTTGTGTGTGTAAAAGAGACCCATTTATAGCAAAAAGATGAAATGTATGTTGTGGTAGGGGGGAAAAATCCTAAAAATGTGCTTACAATAAAACAAACAGGGCTAGTTCAGACATGTGTACAATAGAGTTAATATGGAGATATATCTGTCTCATAGAGCTGCCTTCATTAGCAGGACCAAATATTGATTTTGTCTCAGATCCCTAAGTGGCCCCCTCAAGGATTGAACGCATAACCCTGGGTTTAGCAGATCAATGCTCAAACCACTGAGCGACCCTTAGTCTGTTGAACTAAATGGGTTTAACCACACACACCCCTCACTGAATAGCCAGGGTGACTGCAATTACTTACCCTTGTTGCTATAGGGTTACATTTGATGGGCGTGCACCCATAGTAAGGGGGGGTGTGTGGATGATGAGTTATGATTAATATGAAATGAAATAAAACCTCAGGAATTCACAGATGCTATTGGACAGTTTAAATATAACCCCTGGGGTTGGTAGAGCACTACTGGACAGTTTAAAGGACCCAGGAGTTGGTGGAATGCTATTGGACAGTTTAAATATGGCCCAGGAGTTGGTTGAATGCTATGGGTCATTCTTTCTAGGAAACAACCCCACCCCCAAACTTTAAGCATGAAAGAAACATGTTTTAAAAAACAACCAAGCCCCAAGACATTCATTGATATCTTCAAAGGCCCCCCCACTTGGAAATGGGTACTGTTTAATACTGTAAGAAAGCCACAAATGTATTTTAACTTAAAGGGGGGGGGGAGAAAAAGAAAAAAAAATGTTGTGCAGACAACATGGTTCCCCCACCCCAGATCACAAAAGGGTATGCTATGGGAGGGTTGCCTAAAGTCCTTAAGGATCTATTATTTCATAGCTGTGGTGATTAAATTAACCTGTTATCAACTGTGTTGAAATCTGTTTGAAACAATGGGCTAAGATGGTATAAAAACCTCAGGTATGCTGGAGCTTGTCCTTTTCAACAGAAAACTTTCTTGGATAGCTGCTGGACTGCAAAAAGAGGTAAGACTTGCTGTCTTTGGCCTGGTCCACACTACCCCCCCACTTCGGACTAAGGTACGCAAATTCAGCTATGTTAATAACGTAGCTGAATTCGAAGTACCTTAGTCTGAACTTACCGCGGGTCCAGGCGCTGCAGGAAGGCTCCCCCGTCGATGCCGCGTACTCCTCTCGCCGAGCTGGAGTACCGGCGTCGACGGCAAGCACTTCCGGGATCGATCCCAGAACATCGATTGCCTGCCGTCGGACCCGGAGGTAAGTGTAGACGTACCCTTTAACTCTGAAACTATATATTATGCAATGCCACTCTTTGCCCATGCTGTCTTAGTAAATAATGGTGCCTCTGTTTATTGCAGTGTGATCTGTTTAACATGGAAACAGTAACTTTAAACTGCATTTCACCACCAGGCCAAGGTAAAAACCATTTTAACTATAGTTGTGCTTAATACTGTTGAATTAAAAAAAAGTATTACATAGTTTGTATAAGAGTTTGGTGGTAATATTAACTAATATTTTTGCTTGTTCTTGAACCTGAAGGCCCAAACACACATGGGGGGGAACAGAACAAGCATGTGCTTGCAACACTTTATCCCATAGTGAAAGGTAACTTTTTTGCAACTGGCTTTTAAATGCATGTGGGTTTTTGAAAAGTATATGGCTGCAAACTGGAGGTTTTAAACTGGTGGCATGTGTGTTTCAAACTAACAAGGGTTTCTGTGCAAAATGGATTTTAAAAGCAGTTTTAGTTTTTATTCTGCAAAATGAGATGTATTTAAAAACCTGTGTTTGTTGTACAGCTTGAAATGGATTATTCTGTTGTAAAGCTATGACTTTTTAAATAGAAAAACACCCTAATGAGTGTGTGTGTGTGTATATATGTGTGTGTGTATAGAGAGAGAGAGAGAGAGAGAGAGAGAGAGAGAGAGAGAGAAAATATTTAAGTTTACCAGACGGTTTCATGTGTTTTATAATAATATTGTTTGCCCCACAGTACAGTCAAAACATGAGCAATCCTTAGACCAGAGGGAAAACAAGCTGAAAAGAAAAAGAAAGAGACAGCTGAAAAGGAAAATTCACCAGTATCAGTGACTGATGGATGGATGAAGCCCAGTAAATATATTTTGCTTATTGGTTTGGTTGCTCTATGAGGTTTTGTATTTTAAGTAAATACATAGGTGAGGGTGAGAAAGATGGTAAAGTTCAGTTTTGTAAAATGTTGTTGTTTCTCCGCCCCCC